AAACTGAAAAAAAAAACACTTTAATTTTTTACTTATTTGATTTTAAAAATAAAAAAAAAATATATATATATATATATATATATATATATATATATATATATATATATATATATATATATATATATATATATATATATATATATATATATTGTTTTTCCATATAACTCTAAATAAAAATGTTAAAATAATTACCCACTTCTTTCTTTAAACATGCCGATGTCTTAAAGAGGCCTTATTTACCTCTTAGTTTAACCACTACCACAGCAATCTTGATTTCTAGTTAAGCATTGGGGAGCATCTATAAAGTACATACGCAGTAAAACAACTAATCCCCCCCCCCTCTTATCATATCTGCATACGTATGGAAGACTCCTTGGTTAAATAAAATGATGAAATGCTCCAAATAATATGCTTTAACGATTATTTTCAAAAACCGCATTTCAATAATATCTATTGAATTACTTTTACATAATTTTGACATAATTTTTTACAAATTCGAAATTTTATATTCAAATAAGACCCGTGTTTTTATTTAAATATATGCAACGAATATACTCTTGGGTATTTAAATGTTGGGTACGTGTATTTGGAAAAATATATAGGTAAGAAACTACTAATCGAGGGTTGGGACATATATATGATATATTAATATTTATAATATAAACTACTAATTGAGGGGTGGGGCATATATAATGTGTGCGTATATATATATATATATATATATATATATATATATATATATATATATATATATATATATATATATATATATATATATATATATATATGTATATATATATATATATATATATATATATATATATATACATATACATATATAGAGAGAGCCGTAGTATTTGCAGGGCGTCTGAGTCTTTATATATTATATATATGATCGCCCCTCGATTAGTAGTTTATTTACCTATATATTTTTCCAAATACACGCATCTAACTATTAGATACCCAAGAGTATATTCCTAGCATATATTTAAAATAAAACACGGGTCTTATTTGCCAACAAAATTTTGAATTTGTAAATAATAATGCCAGGCTGTATTAAATAAATTGACATAACGCAGTGGTGAGCAGCTGTAGCGCAGTGGTAAGCGCACTTGCCTCAGAAGCTAGAGATGTTTAAACACGGTTCAACACCATCTCTGAGGAAGTTTTGTAACATCGGTAAGAAAGAAGGCGTGAACTTTTCTTCAAATGCTCTTCCACGGTGCTCTGTGATAAGACCGTAGGAACTGCTTGGGGCACCTAGAATTAAAAAAAAGAATACTAGGCACAAACGTCAACGTAATTTGTTTTTGGGTTTGCTAACACTTAAATCGTGAGATATTTTTACTTAAGCTTTGTCGCTTTAGTTTTTAAATTGGTTTCTTTTAAATTATTTGAATATACATACATCTAGATAGATACACACCATATTATGAATATGTTATATATCTGATCTGTGTGAGAAAAAAAAAATTAAGATAGCAGCGGTGATATATATGTTTTACCTATAACAAAAATTATTTTGTACCAAATAATGCCTTTATTATGCTTGTGGCTATGAAAATAGCCGGTTTTTTTTCTTTCTTTCTTTTGTTTCATGAATTTTATGGCTTTGGTAAAACCAGGTCATTAGAAATATTTTTATTGACAAAGTGATACTTCTTTCTCAGCGGAATCAGAGATATTAAAATAACTTTCTTATTAACTTCTTTTCTTTTTTTTAAACATGGCTTAAGACGCATATTTTTTGGATTTGTCTTTTGGTAATGGGATTTGAGAATACTTTTTAATCGCAAAGTTGGGCAAGGAATCGATTGATAAATAGTTTTGAGTTTGTTGAACTCCATGTGGATAGATTCTCCGCCTTGCTCTCCATAAAACCCAAATCCCGCTCCCCATTTTTCCATAAACGGAATAGCATGATGTTCTAACATATGCAGCTTAGGTGTCACTGAAGCCTCGGGCCAATTCAAACGATAAAATTGCATCAAGTTGTTTATATTTTTTTCTAAAAAAATTAAAAGTACAATTTAAAAAAAAAAACAGTTGATATCCTTATAAAACATTTTATAAAATAATGCGACTTACTTAAAAGAATTAAATCGTCTTGTGTAATTGTATTTTTTGAAGAAAATATTTTATTGCACTGGGCAAATTTATCAAATAGTTGTTTATATTTATTGCTAATTTCAACTGCAAACTGATGCACGCTTGTTCCTGAATATCCTTCCTCGTGAACAAGCTTCGGGGTGTAGTTGCATAGCTGAAGTATTGAAGATTTCTAAATAACAAATATACTTCACTAGTCTTGTTAAGAGACAGTTTAGATATATTATAAGTTTATAATCAAAATGCGATATGAACTATTTTGCTATTGTGCCCGTTTTTTATGTTTAATTAACTTAATAATTAAAAATAAAATGGATTAACCTGTTATAATTAATTATAAATTTAATAAAAATTTTTGATTATGTTGCTTTTAAAAGACTTATATAAGGTTAAATGACTTATTTATTTATTGTCTTAATCATTGTAATTACATTAAATTCATTTGTTTTTATAACAACATCTGCATTAAAAGTAAAGAAAATAACTCATGAAAGATAGATAATAAATTATTATTTATCCAGTAAAAACCTAATTTGTTATTAACTTTACTAGTAATTTTTTTTTATTTTTACTAGTCTTTAATTAAATTACTTTTAGCATTTTATGCACATGGTTTCCTATAAAACTTTTTTCGTGGTAAGTTTGACGTTGTACTTTAAGCTTTTGCAGTACCGTCTCGATCATCTTTGTGCATGGTCTTTGACCCAATTCAAAGGAATGTTTCCCAAACAGAGTATTATATATATTTGTCTAAAAAAAAACTTCAAATAGAATAACATAAACCAACAATTCTTGCATAGCAGCAAAAATTATAATACTATTTATTCCATAACAACAAAGGCAAAATTGTGTGTGACAGGGATGACATTTAAAACACTGGTTTTTTTAAACCCTGGTTTGCAAACTGTTTATATGTGCACACATATAAACAGTTTACAAAATTGCTATTATTAATAATGCTTTTATTAAGCTGTTTACTACAATTAAATTGCACCATACCAAATGCTTGCAAAACTGTTTAATGCATACCAAATCAATTACAAACACAAACTCTATTTTAAATTAATTTCACTACACATAATAATATAAAAATAATATGAAACAAAAATTATGAAATCAATAAAACATAATATCAAATTAATTAAACTAATAAATTGTTTTATTATTATATTAATAAACCTTTTTTGCTTTTTCACCATTAAGTAACTCAATTTCTGTAAAGTATAGAGATTGAATATTTTCTAAATTATCTGAATTGTTAACAGCAGCTAACAAAATAAAATCATTGATTAATTGAATTTGATTGTCGAGGTTAAGAATTTCAGTTTGAAGGTTTAACAGTTGTTTTTGTTTTGATACGAAAACTGGATATTCTACCGTAAAGTTGATGTTGCTTTTGACTGCTTCTGCAGCAATCAAAATGTCCAATTGATGGACTTCTTCTTCAAACAAATTAAAAAAATTCAAATAAATACCAAGAGCCATATGGAGACTAGGTAAAGATACCTAAAAATATATATTGAAAGTGCATAATGAATTACTTTTATTTAGCCGTACTGCAAAATTAATACGACAAATAAAAATAACATTACTTGATCTAGTGGTATTTTCAAAATTGGCTCTGTGATGACATTATTGCAATTTTTTGCATTTTTCTTTAAACCTCCGTTTTCTATAAATCTTTCATGGTCCAAAAACAGATCTTCTAAGGTACGATCTTTTATTTCAGAACTTTTATGCTCACCAAATTTCATGTCACTTGCTGTCGCATAACAGAAAAGACAACAATACCTCCCTAAAATTAAAATCAATAAAAAATAATTACAAATTAAAGAAGAATAATTATTTATCATAAAAAAATTAAATATGTTCATAAATTTGATTTTCTTATAAATAATAATAATTATTATTTAATTTTTTGGTTATTATTAGTATTGTAAACTTTTTAATTATATATATATATATATATATATATATATATATATATATATATATATATATATATATATATTTATATATATATATACATATATATATATATATACATATACATATATATATATATACATATATTTAAATATACATATATATATATATATATATATATATATATATATATATATATATATATATATGTATGTATAGCTATAAATTTTAAAAAAACAGTTAATAGAAAAACAGTTTTATTAACTTACTTATACTTCATTTTTTGAATATCTTCTATTTGCTTTTCAAACCTTGACATGGCTACTTTGACATTGACTCTGTAATCTTTTGCCTCGAAAATGCTAAAAACTATGGTGTTGTCTTTGCTATTTGGGTTTAAGGTATTTGCAACCTGGTATGTCATTTTAAAACTCCCTCCACCATAATCACCTCCTATTTTAATTTGTATCTCTTTCTCAGGAATAAATTCATGGTGATGAAGTCTTTTACAACTACATAAAAACAATACATTATTAAGTAATTGATTATATTATAAAATAATAAACTGATTTTATAGACAATGGCCTCATTTTAAATAATAACAAATAAGCACAAAAGATTTCAATTTGCTTTATAAATTATGCTTTTAAAAGAATTGTTAATTGATGGTTTAAAACTACCTTTCTAATTGATCAAGATGTCTTAAAATATGCATTGGTAAATTTTCAATATAGCCCCAAGATACATATTTTATTTCGAATGTTTCTTTTTCTTCCTTTTCAAAGGTAAATGGTGCATTTTCTACAACTAGGTCATCACCAGATAACTTTTCAGCAACTAATCTTTGTGAAGAATGTGATGCTGTATTTATATTAAAGCTCTTCAGCCACCTTTAAACAAACATAAAAAGTTATATTTCATGCAACAAAAAACTAGTATATAATAAAATTCATATAAAAAAATAAAAACTTGGATATTGTTTTAAGCTTCTCCCAAGGTATGCACAGGTCTGCTTTCATTGCTACCATGTTGGTTGCACTAATTACTACTCTTTCAGTATTTAGGTTATCTAATATTAACCCCTTTGTCTCTGCTTGAAATGAATTTATCAGCTTCGATGTTTGGCAACAAACTGCATCATTGGATGTACCAAAAATAACTTTCATGTGTCTTTTGATAGAAGCATTTCTGACTCTTATAGTTGTATTTGATGCTTGGTTACTGCTAACATATGCTTTTGGAGTAAGCGAAAACAAAACTGGCTAAAAAGCAAGATCTTTGAAAAGTAAGACCTATTTAATTTATAGTTATTACAAATTAAGCTAAAATTAAAAAATATCATTACTCTAGATCCTCCACTTTTAAACTCAACTACTTATCCACCATCTTAACCATCTTTTGCTTAAGAACATGGAGTGCAGCATCTTCAACTATTCTTGGAATATCATTATCCACTGTGAGATTGAAAATCTCAGAAATGTTGTTGTTAAATAAATAAGATGTTGATGATGATGTTGATACTGTAGAAGATGATGATGAAGCCAAGTTAGAAGCAAATGAAGATATTGATGGTGATAACAATGGGGCTGCTTGTACTATTGATTTATCAATGCAGACACTCTTATGATTAGTATAAAAATGATATTCTTTCATTACATTGTATTTTTTTTTACGTATACACTCAACAGTTAACATATTTAAAAGAGAATTTGTTTTAACACTTGTCACTAAATCTTCAGGTAAAATGAGCTCTTTACATTTTGGACATGATGTTTCATTGAGTTTTTTTACTTTTATATTTTCCACTATGCAGAAAAAACAAAATAAGTGTTCGCATTTTTTTAGAGTTACTGGTTGTTTTGGTATTTTACCACATAAATTACACTGACAATGTTGTAAATGAGGATTAAATTCATTTTTTCATTCTTCAATATCTATTTCTGAGTCATGTGTTGTCATAATGCTTTTTTTAATGTTAGCAATCATCGAAAATGACCATACTTTTTCACCAATACCAGGGCGACCAATAAGCTTTTTATTTTGTTTAAGTAATTTTGCAACATTTAGACCTTTACAGAGTTTTTTTACCTGTTGACAGCAAAAGCATTCATCACAATGAGGTTTCCAGTTCATACTTAAATGAAGTGTTGTTGATGTCATTTTTTTGATAACATTGATAATGGTATTATAACATTTATGGCAAATTTTATTTGGATGAACATTTTCTTGCTCATCTGATAGCATATCATGGAAAACCTTTTCAAATTTATTTTTTGGTTTGTTCCAATAGGGTAACTTTTTTTACCAAGCAAAAATCCACAGACCCTACAAAGAAGAGTCAAATTCTTGTTATGGATCTCCATCTAAGAAAAAGACAAGTTTTTGGACAAGTGTACTGAATAATGGCTTTAACTTTATCTATTAAATAGTGGAAATATTCCAAAACTAAATTAAATTAACAAAAAAATAATAAACTGCATACAAAATAAAAGACTTAGTTTAAAATTAAAATATAAAAACTTTGTTAACTTTTTTACGTAAGGGGCCATCCATAAAGTACGTACGCATGTATGGGGGGAGGGGTGGTTATCCTGAAACGTACGAATGCGTACAGGGGGGGGGGAGGGTGTTAACGACAGCGAGTACGTACGCGGTTTAACTATCTCTCCTAAACTTCGTTATAAAAACATTGAATTTCACGTGTTTTAATGTTTTTTTATTAAAACATTGAATTTCACGTTAAAAAATCATAATATAATATATGTTATTTTTTTTTTTCTGACTTCAATTACAATTGTTTTTTATTTTTCTTTATAAGTAACGAGGAGAGAAAAAATCGAGCTATAATATCTCCAAATAATGTTTTCCATTTTTTGCAACATAATTCGACTGTAGCAAGATGAAAAGTAACAAAACTGTAATCAAAGAAAACTTCTTCTGAATTCTTTTTTTAATTACGAACCTGGTTTTTCCCATTTCTCTTAAAAGGTTAATATTTTGTTTTAAAAAACAATAAAATAAAAAAAGGTAATATTATTATTTTTTATCATTAAAGTTAATATTAACATACATTAAGATTGCTAAGGACAGGCGAAGCGAAATGAACATACATGTGACAATGCATATGACAATCATTGTGATAATTGTAAAAAATAGTTACTTTAAATGCTGATGGAAACCAACACTTTTTATGATGCAATGTAACGGCAATTATCTTGAGTAAACTAAAACAAAAAAAACTTTTATGATTCTATTCGAAAACTCATTACGCCTCATTGGAAAAAAAACTTATTATTTATTATGACCAAGATGCCGCGCGGGAACGAGAAAAAATACCTTCAATTCCTTGAGTTATATAAAAAAGCATATTCAACACTTGAAAAACAAAAGCACTATCAGCAAGCACAAGAGTTGTGGAAAATAGTAAAAAACAATGAATCCTTGTATGAAAAAAAAATAAATGAGTTAAAAGAGAAAGTAACAAAGTCGAAAGTATCACTTATGTCATTCTGGGGAAATACCATTTCACCACCTAGCAAAAAGAAAAAAGATATCCATCCAGCGCCGTCTTCGTTAAATGAAACACGAAGTTTCCTAAATGCAACTACGACAGAACCTGCAAGGATTGAAATTAGTAAGCTAATTTCTGTAATATTTTAAAAACTTTTTCTCTCTTGTGATTTTCTATACATTAGGCCGGGTGAATAAAAAAGAGCAATTGCTTTTTCTCAGTAACTGTTCAGCTTTGCGTGAATAAAAATTTGACCAAGATTGCTCAAATTTTTATTCACGTAAAGCTGAACAATTTACTCCAACAACGCTCAACTTTACGTAAATAGAAATTTGAGGATAATTGCTCAATTTTTTATTCACGTAAAACTGAACAATTACTGAGTAAAAGCAATTGCTCTTTTTTATTCACCCGGCCTACTGAGTTTAACCGTAATGTAAATCAAACTACATCGTACGACCTTAGAGCAGTCACAGAAATTTATAATGTTGACCACTAGACCTATTTTTCTATATCTAAAATAAATTGATTAGTAGTAATTGTCAAGAATTTATAATAGCTTATTTTTTGGCATTTTTTAATTTAGATTTAACAGACAACAAAAAAGAAAGAGAAAATCCGGCACAAGTTAGGAGTCGAAAGAAAATCTCAGATCTTGAATCACAACGTGCATCCTTGATAGTCGTACGTGATTCTGGTTTATCTACCGTAACAAAGGAACAAATAAACACTGTGAAAGAAACCATAAGAAAAGAAAAAACAAAATTGGACAGGTAAGATAATTTAGTTATGTATTTCTTTATTTGATATTTCATTTTAGAATGCTTAACTGTCAGGTTTCTAGTAAATATCAAGAGATATATGTTAAATAATACAGAGTTTATTTATGCGTATAGAAAAGCGTCTTGGCTATAAAAACCAAACATTTTCAAAGACAGAAACTTTCATAATCTTATTGTAAATAATATTTTCTTATTTGAAATAAGAATTTGCGTACTTTTTCTTTTGCAACATTAGCCAAAAGTTGCGAAACCTTAAGTATAGAAGTTTTTATAACGGAATCAAAGCTTTACTGATATTTCGTTTTCAGATTGATTCGTGAATCAGCTCGTCAAAGAAAACGAAGACAAAAACTTAAAGAGAGCATCGAAACTGTGTGTCAGAACATCCCTGAAGCATCAAGTGCTTTGAAACAGTTTAGTCGAAACCATACTGGACGACCGCGTCTCGAAGTTGACCAACCAGAGCTTTTATCAACAATTATAAAAATTGTGCAAAATTTATCAGCAGCTGACGAACGTCGAAGAACAGAATGTCTCCGTAGCGTCTCCACTTTAGATGACCTTCAGGAAGAGTTGACAAAGATAGGCTTTACCTTGAGTAGGAGTGGTTTGTACCTTCGTCTTTTACCACGACGTGGAAACACTTCTGAAGGAAAAAAACATGTCAGCACAGTTCCAGTAAAGCTGTTACGTCCAGAAAACTCAATGCAAAAAAAAAATGACGATAGAATGTTTGCCAAATCATTCATTGACGACATGTTCGAAATTTGCAAATTGTTTGGACCAAAAGCTGTGCTTTTCATTTCCAACGATGATAAAGCCAGGGTCCCATTGGGTATTGCTGCAGCAAGCCTTCAAGCGCCGTTGCTGATGCATATGGAATACAAGGTCAAACTCATGGATCACGATTTTGTCGTTAGCTCACAGCACAAATTGATCCCATCAGTGTATGGCGTATGCGAAGTAAACAATACTGGAAATGTATCATACAGTGGGGACACTTTCATACGCATAAGAAGTGCGAAACACGATACATCAAATGCTTTTACACATGCTTTTGATATTAGAGAGCTTTTTAAAACCGAGTTGGTTAAACGTAGACCAATTATGTTAATGGAGCCTGATGGAGCACAGGATGAAGCACCACGTTTCCCTAAAACCTTAGCAACTGCTGTTGACCTCTTTCGCTTGCTTAATTTAGATGCCCTTCTTCATGGTGTGAATGCAGCTGGCCTTTCAGCCTTTAACCCCGTAGAACGAAGAATGGCACCTCTTTCTTGTGATTTGGCTGGAATAGTCCTTCCTCATGATTTTTTTGGCAATCACCTTGATTCTTCTGGAAAAACAATCGACTATGAATTGGAGGTAGAGAACTTTCAAAAAGCGGCTGACGTTTTATCCCAAGTTTGGGAGAAAACCGTCATTGACGGGTATCCTGTTCATTGCCAGGCTGTACCAGTTGGGAAAGCATATGAACCACCAATTCCAGATCCTGTTTGGGTAGACAAACATTGTCAGCAATCGCGATACAGCCTACAAATCGTAAAATGCCAAGAGGAGTCATGTGGCACACCGTTTGAAACAAACTGGCTGAAAAACTTCCCCCAACGTTTCATTCCATTTCCGGCAATCTACGAATACTGCGAGAATGGTTACAAAGCAATGGAACCGT